AGTCCTGGACACGCCCCCAGCCTGTGATTGGACAAAAGGAAGAGCAGCACAGTGATGAGCTCATCTGTCACTCTGCCCTCTCCTCCTATCGGCGTGCTTCTTGTCAGCACATTAACCGACTGGCTCTTTGTGCTGTTTCTCCCTCTTAGGCTCCAGCCCTGCTGTACAGAGAGGCTGATACCGGGTCACATTCAGGTACTCACGCTGCTTGTGTTTAAAAATACATTTAATGACGTAATAATTTGTGTCTTTTATATCTGCCGCTGAGACATAAATAATAATTACTAGGGATGCACCGATACCGGCATTTTGGTACCCAGTACCCGTCATTTTTTTTCCGGTACGCGCCGATACCGAGTACCGGAAGTCCCATTCAGGAAGCCGGGCGGCGTGTAATGACTCGCCACCCGGCTTCCCGATTAACAAGAAAGTCGCCTCTCACCTCGGCATGTCCAGCCTGTCACCCCCGGGGCCATTTCTGATTGGCCGGGAAGTCGGCTCCATGCTCTCTCATCACAAGTGACGAGAGAGCATGGAGCCGCTTCCCAACCAATCAGGAAGCCGGGCAGCGTGTAATGACGCGCTGCCCAGAATCATGATACAGGAAGTACTCGGGCTAGGCAAGGGAGCATTTGGCTGAGTACTCGCTCCAAATACTCGGTATCGGCACCAGTATCGGTATCGGCACCAGTAGCGGTATCGGCACCAGTATCGGCACCAGTATCGGTATCGGCACCAGTATCGGTATCGGCGCCAGTATCGGTATCGGCACCAGTATCGGCACCAGTATCGGTATCGGCACCAGTATCGGTATCGGCACCAGTATCGGCACCAGTAGCGGTATCGGCACCAGTATCGGCACCAGTAGCGGTATCGGCACCAGTATCGGCACCAGTATCGGTATCGGCACCAGTAGCGGTATCGGCACCAGTAGCGGTATCGGCGCCAGTATCGGCACCAGTATCGGTATCGGCACCAGTATCGGTATCGGCGCCAGTATCGGCGCCAGTATCGGCGCCTCCCTAACAATAATAACAAGGATGAGTTTCTTCTTAAATTGATTCTCGGGCAGGGAAATAGAATGGAGTCCGCATGTAATGATGGGATTGGTCCAAATTAAGACAGTAAGATGGGCACATTGGATGTGATTGGCTGTCGGTGGAAGTCAGACTGATACAATGTATCACAGGATTGTTCCGGATCCTTCTCTCTGTATCGGGCTGATTGTAGATCTGATGTATCCAATAAAACGATTCCATAGAAAGCATTGAAGTCGCCCCTCGTACTCCTCCAGGGGTGACAATCCAATCAACCGAATGACAATCTCCCCCCGTCATAGAAATCCGCACACGTGAACCTTTATTATCATTGTTCCTCCTCCTCGGCGGCGGCGGCGGCGGTTTGTTGGGCGCACGGAGGCGACCGATGACCCGGGAAGATTGAGGAACTTTCTGCGGTTTAGTCATTTAGCCTATTAATCTGCTCATTAATCTTCCTGCTTCCCATTTCATGTTTACAGCTAAAAACACCGACCATGA